ATGTGAGGGGATGGGGTGGTTTTTACTTCAAGAGTCCCTGGTGGGTGGGCAGAGGGGCTCTCTGCCATGTCCTGGGCCCTGAGTATCCATCTGTGCTGAGGGAAGAAGGGCCTGCCATGTCCCATGACTGGGTCCAAAGCCTGAGGCTCCAGGTGATCTATCTTTCAAAATCAAGGTGAAGATATTCATACCTACTGTGCTTTGCTGGGCATACCAGGTGCACTGGAGCCCACATTGCAAAGTGGTGTCAAGTAGCACTGGCCTGCCCTTTGAAATATTTCTGTCATGCAGGCTTTTGCACTCTGGGCCTAGAATGGGAGGGGCAGCCCTGATGATCTCTGAAATGTCTTCTGGGCTATTTTTCTACTGTGTTGGACAGTAGGTTTGGCTTTTGTTTAGATGGCTGACTAATCTCCCCACTGTCTTGATGAATAACTCCTAGCTTCCCATTGTGATGTCAGATCCAAACTGAAGTCTTTATGAAATTTGGCCATATGCTTTGTGTATTCTCTTGAAGCTTTCTCATTTCTTTTAGTTTGGATAGGCTGAGAATCCCACATTTTAAAGTTTGGCTTCCTTTTTAATTAACTGTTCCATCTTTAAGTCACTTCTCACTTCTCTCATTTTACTCAAAGCTGCTCCTGCAACCCTTTGCTTAGAAGACTCATCAACCAGTTAGCCAATTTCATCCCTTACAGGTTCTACCTCTCACAACTAGGATACAAACACAATTCAACTAAGTCCTTGGCCAGTTTATAACAAGAATTTCCTTTTCTTCATTTTCCAATAACATGTTCCTCATTCTGTCTGAGACTTTCTCAGAATGGCCTTTACCATCAATAGTTCCACCAACATTTTATTCTCAACTACTTAGGTATTCTCTCTGAAGACTGAGACTTCTCTTCAGATGACTCTCCTACTTCTGAGCCCTTGCCAGAATTGTTTTTAATGGTCTATTCACAGCAATTAAGGCTTTTCCTAGTGTGCCTCTTCAGAGTCTTTCACTCTCCACCCATTACCTAGTTCCAAAGCTGCTTCCATATTTTTAGGTATTATAGCAGCATCCTCACTTCTCAGTTTCTTAGGGCTGCTATAACAAAATGCAACAAACTGGGTGGCTTATAAATGACAGGCATTTATTTCACAGATTTGGAGGCTGGAAGTGCCAGTGCCAGCCTGATCAGATGAGGGCCCTCTTTTAGGTTTCAGACTTCTCATTGTCTCATCATGTGTTGGAAGGGTCAAGAGATCTCTCTGTATCCTCTTTTATAAAGGCACTAATCCCATTCTGAGGATTCCACCCTCATGACCTCATGACCTCCCAAAAGCCCACCCTCTAATACTATCACTTCAGGTATATGAATTTTGGGAGGACAAAAGCATTTAGACCATAGCAGCAACCATTAGCATGGTACAATTTTATTTTTTTAATTTAACTTTTTATTTTTAAAATTTACATCCAAATTAGTTAGCATATAGTGCAACAGTGATTTTAGGAGTAGATCCCTTAATGCCCCTTCCCCATTTAGCCCATCTCTCTTCCCACAACCCCTCCAGTAACCCTGTTTTTTGTCCATATTTATGAGTCTCTTCTGTTTTGTTCCACTCCCTGTTTTTATATTATTTTTATTTCCCTTCCCTTATTTTCATCTCTTTTGTCTCTTAAAGTCCTATATGAGTGAAGTCATATGATTTTTGTCTTTCTCTGACTAATTTCACTTAGCATAATAGCTTCCAGTTCCATCCACATAGTTGCAAATGGCAAGATTTCATTCTGATTGCTGAGTGATACTCAGTTGTATACATATACCACATTTTCTTCATCCATTCATCCATCGATGGACATTTGGGCTCTTTCCATACTTTGGCTATTGTTGAGAGTGCTGCTATAAACACGGGTGTGCAGTGTCCCTTCAAAACAGCATACCTGTATCCCTTGGATAAATGCCTAGTAGTGCAATTGCTGGGTCGTAGTGTAGCTCTATTTTTCATTTTTTGAGGAACCTCCGTACTGTTTCCGGAGTGGCTGCACCAGCTTGCATTCCCACCAGCAATGCAAAAGAGATCCTCTTTCTCTGCATCCTTGCCAACATCTGTTGTTGCCTGAGTTGTTAATGTTAGCCATTCTGACAGGTGTCAGGTGGTATCTCATTGTGGTTTTGATTTGTATTTCCCTGATGAGAAGTGGTGTTGAGCATTTTTTCATGTGTCGGTTGGCCATCTGGATGTCTTCTTTGGAGAAGTGTCTATTCATGTCTTTTGCCCATTTCTTCACAGGGTTCTTTGTTTTTTTGGGGTGTTGAATTTGATAAGTTCTTTATAGATTTTGGATACTAACCCTTTATCTGATATGTCGTTTGCAAATATCTTTTCCCATTCCCTTGGTTGCTTTTTCACTTTGCTGATTGTTTCCTTTGCTGTGCAGAAGCTTTTAATTTTGATGAGGTCCCAGTAGTTCATTTTTGCTTTTGTTTCCCTTGCCTCCAGAGACGTGTTGAGTAAGAAGTTGTTGTGGCCAAGATCAAAGAGGTTTTTGCCTGCTTTCTCCTCAAGGGTTTTGATGGCTTCCTGTCTTACACTGAGATCTTTCATCCATTTTCCATGGTATAAGAAACTGGTCCAGGTTCATTCTTCTGCATGTCACTGTCCAGTTTTCCCAGCACCACTTGCTGAAAAGACTGTCTTTATTCCATTGGATATTCTTTCCTGCTTTGTCAAAGATCAGTTGGCCATACATTTGTGGGTCCCTTTCTGGGTTCTCTATTCTGTTCCATTGATCTGAGTGTCTGTTCTTGTGCCAGTACCATACTGTCTTGATGATTACAGCTTTGTAGTATAGCTTGAATTCTGGGATTGTGATGCCTCCTGCTTTGGTTTTCTTTTTCAAGATTGCTTTGGTTATTTGGGGTCTTTTCTGGTTCCATACAAATTTTAGGATTATTTGTTCTAGTCTGTGAAGAATGCTAGCTGTTATTTTGATAGGGATTGCATTGAATATGTAGATTGCTTTGGGTAGTATCAATATTTTAGCAATATTTTTTCTTCGTATCCAGGAGAAGTGAAAAATCTATACGCTGAAAACCTAGAAAGCTTATGAAAGAAATTGAAGAAGACACAAAAAAATGGAAAAAGCATGATACAATTTTAGAATATTAATTGATCCCATAAAGATCCCATTTGGAGTCAGTCCTTATTGTTACCTCCAGCCACAAGCAACCCTGATCTCTCTGTATCTCTAAATTAACCTTTTCTGGACAGTTCATATAAATGGAATGACACAATGTAGTCTTTTGTGTTTCACTTTTTCACTTTGCATAATGCATTTTGGGTTCATTCATAATATAGCATGTATCATTAGCTCCATGTTGTAGCATATACTACATTTTGTTTATCCACTCATCATGGATAGACATTTGGAATGTTTCCAGTTTTTTGCCTATTTTGAATAATGTTGCTATGAACATTTATGCTTTATGTGAAGCGTTAAAAAGATAAACTGAGGTATAGTACATTTTTAAGAGTTTATTTGACCAAAAATCAGTTAGAATTGGGCAGTGCCAAACTGGAAGTGGTTTGAAGTGCTCTATCAACAGGAGCTATGGGAAAGACTTTTACAGAGAAAAGGGGGAAAGCAAAGTAAAAAAAAATGATTTGATTGGCTATAGCTGAAGTATCTGCCTTATTTGGGAAGCCTAGTTAGCTGTTTATGATCAGTTGTTCTTAGATTTTGATTTATTTTTTTTTCAATGTTTATTTATTTGGAGAGAGAGAGAGAGGCATGGGGTGGGGTGGGGCAGAGAAAGAGGAGAGAGAGAATTCCAAGCAGGCTCTGCGCTGACATGGCAGAGTCCAGCAACAGGGCTCAATCTCATAAACTGTGAGATCATGATCTGAGCAGAAATCAAGAGTCAGATGCTAATCAAATGAGCCACCAGAGGCCCTATAGATTTTGATCTTTTAGTCTTGAGGCATTTATTATAGGCTTAGATTTTGGTTTGCTTATGTAGGCTGCTAAGGCATTAGAACCACTTCTGTATTTAATGGCCTAATTTAATTAATTTAATAGGACATATATTTTCATTTCTCTTAGGTAGATTCCTATGAAAGGAATTTCTGGTCATATGGTAATTTATTATTTAACTTTTTTTAAGAAACTACCAAACTTTTTCATGAGGGCTGCACCATTTTATATTCCCACCAGCAATATTTTGTTTTATATTTTTTAATGCTTGTTTATTTTTGAGAGAGAGGGAGACAGAACATGTGCGGGGGAGGGGCAGAGAGAGAGGAAGACAGAATCTAAAGCAGGCTCCAGGATCTGAGCTGTCAGTACGGAGCTGGACGTGGGACTCAAACCCACAGACTGCAAGATCATGACCCGAGCTGAAGTTGGATGCTTAACTGACTGTGCCACCCAGGCACCCCTCCGACCATCAGTGTTTGAGGGTTCCAATTTCTCTGCATCATTGTCTTTCTATGAAGATATTTTGTCTCAGAAATTCCATGTCCATTTGAATTATAATTAAATAAAAAACATACTTTCATGATTCAGTGGTAACACTGAAATCTCAATTAGATTAAGCATTTGGCTATGTACCTTTGGTTTCATTAATTAATTGTCATTAATTGGGAAGAATTGATATATGTTGTAGAACTAATGGTCTACTTTCCTCAGGATTATATGGTAAATAATTAATGACAATTTACTGCAGGCTTCCTTATAGAATATATGTTAGCCTTCTGCTTCTATTCCTAGGTCATCTAATTATTCAGGAAATGAAATTAGCTTTCATTAGAAGGCAGACTGGTGGTGTTTGTGTGTGTATTTGGGGTTTCCAGATTCTGAAATAAAAGGACCCATGATTTATATGTATTTTTAATAGATATGGTATAAAATGGCATATAGAAATAACATTGATGGATGCTAATAGCAATATAGGCTTTTTGTACATTTTAAAACCCTGTGGACGAATGCAATAATTTCCTATGTTCCTTTACAGATTGTTCACAGAACACTGGCAGCCATGTTGGGTTCCCTTGCAGCATTAGCAGCGCTGGCTGTGATTGGAGACGTAAGTTGTAACATTTTGAGTCAATGGCTTACCACTGTATAGAATATAAGATTCAAAGATAGTCCAACAATTAGGCATTAGCTAGTGATTTTCATTCTTTTATATGCTATTTCCACATTTCTCCCTCAGGATCCATGCTGGAGGCATGAACCAACAAACCTTATCAACATTGATGACTGTTTTTCATTTGACTTTCACACACATTTCTTATTTTGCATTTTAGCTGAGGAAAGGCTCATCGCTATGCAGTTGCTCAGGGCTGTGTAGCTGAGTGGTTAGATTTGGCTCTGGGTGCTGTCAGCCCTTGGGAACTAGAGGGGGCCATCCTGCCTGGAGCAGAGAGGTGAGAAATGGTGAGGTTGGAGTTCTGTCTTGCAGACATCAGGAGGTCCCTGGAGATGCATATTTGGGGGTGATGGCACCACATCAGGGTCTGCATGTGGCCTGTCTTCAGGAACATAGGAGTGAATGTAGAGAAGCAAAAGCAAGAGAGCCCAAGTGTCCACTGGAGATAGAGGCCTGCCATTGTTGAAGGAACAGTGCTGGAACTGAAGAAGGTGGCAGCACACAGAGCTGGATTTGAAAACAACTCCATATTTTTGTATCCTTTGGGTAAATACCTAGTAGTGCAATTGCTGGGTTATAGGGTAGTTAGTTCTATTTTTAACTTTTTGAGGAACCTCCATACTGTTTTACAGAGTGGCTGCACCAGTTTGCATTCCCAGCAACAGCAAAATAAATGTCAGATAAAGACAAATGCCATATGATTTCATTCATATGTGGAATTTAAGAAACAAAACAGATGAACATATGGGGGAAGTGGGAAAAAAGGGGGGGGGAACCATAAGAGACTCTTAACAATAGAGAATAAACTGAGAGTTGATGGAACCAGGTAGGTGGGGGTAGTTGAGTGATGGGCATTAAGGAGGGCACCTTTTGGGATGGGCACTGAGGGTTGTATGTAAGTGATGAGTCACTGGGTTCTGCTCCTGAAACCAATGTTACACTGTATGTTAACTAACTCGAATTTAAATAGAAATTTGAAAAGAAAAAAATAAATCTATAGAATTTAAAGGATTTTTTCTTCAAAGTACTACTAAAGGCCATTTAGTTAGCCAAAGAATAATAACTGGTTTAAAAAACTATGTGGGGCTATGTTGTTATTCATTCATTCATTCACTCATTCACTCATTCATTCATTCATTTTGGCTAGAGTTGGTATAAAAAAATACTAACCCTAAGGGTAAAATGTCCCAGAATGCTAAAACTTATACATAAACCACTGTTATTTTTATTAACTGTTAAGGAGTAATATAGTAGTAGCTATTTTGTTTTAGAAAACATTAATGCGGCACACATCTTGTGCTGCGGGTAGCTCCTTGGGCCACCATGCAGTCCTTTCCCAACAATGAGACTCTCAAAGTGCCCTCACTTCATACTCTGTGCTCCCAATTCCCCATGACCTCAGCCTTCCCTACTCTGCAGGGTTGTTAGAAGATGAAGTGAGAGTGGATGAACAAGTGGTGAGTAGGACAAGTTTATCTTTCAGTTATTGCCATCCTGGCCTCATGCTCCAATACCAAGGAAGGCATGTGGGAACTTCACTGATCTCAAGGGTCAGTCCTGCATTTCAGGCTGCAGTTCTGGAGTTGGAGTTGCCAGGGACAGGGTTTAGGAAATTTGCTTTTCTTGTTACTAAATGTATAAGCTTGACATTATAATGTCTTGGGTCACGAGTCGTTTTCATTGATGTTATACTCTAATTTTAAAAGCAAGTGGATAGTATGATTTTTGACTGTGGTCAAATGAGTGGGCTTGCTATAAAGAGTGGCACATTTTTTACAGCTATCACCAGAAGGATGATGCCTCAAACTAATTGGGAAATTTGTACTTTGATTGCAGAGACCCAGCCTGACCCATGTGGTGGAGTGGATTGATTTTGAGACCTTGGCCCTGCTATTTGGCATGGTAATTATAATCCTCTCAGTAGGACAGGGCTCCAAGCCTGCTGTAATCTGGGGCCTTCTCTTTTGCTGCCATTGCTGATAATACTTCATTATATTAAAGACATTGTACTGCTTGACAATTAGGGCTTGATTAAGAAGTGTTAGCGCAGGCCTAGTCAATTTCTCCTGTGGAGGAATGAAATGATTGGTGCTCTGGTTAGTTAGCTGGAGAATTGCAGTCTTAGTCCTGTCTGATAGTTAAATAATATTGTCGTTTAGATAACTTAGTAACATTTTTGAGTTGCTTCCCTTAAAATATACAATGGATTATCCCAAATAAGTGAACCATATAAGTTTTGGGGATTGGAAAAACACCTGTAATTAAATACATGGAAAATGAAAGAAATTGAACCTAAGTAATAGTTTGTGTGTCATAAACCAATTTAACTAGAAGAAGTGAAATTTGATAAGATCCTGAATATCAGTAGGAATGCCTCACATGTTCTTGAACAGACCCTACAATGGCTAAGTGGTCTGAAGGAGGGTTTCCCCTTTCTGGACAAAAGATCCACTCTGTGTAAAGCAGATTATTATGTATCTTAATTTTCCTGGCTAATATTTTATCCCCTCTGGTAGTCATAAGAGAGGGCCATGCTACTCTAGGCTTCAATGTGACCCAAACTAGCTGCTTCCTCTCTGAGTGCAGTGTAAGGAGACAGGTCAGTGCTCTGAACTTAGCCTTTATAGAGAAGTTCATATTCTTGTTGGTCTTGAAAAGTATGTAGTAGAGTCTGGGCATTTGGAAGGAAGAAGGAAGACATACCAGATGTCTCATAAAAGAGGTTAAAAAAAACTTAAATGAATGATATATTAGTTTGCTGGCTCTGCCATAATAAAGTACTACAGACTGGTGCCTTCAAAACAGAAATTTATTTCCTCATACTTCTGCAGGCCAGATTTCTGAGACCAAGTCAGCAGTGCTTGTTCCTTTTGAGGCCTCTCTGCTTGACTTGTGGATGATCATCTTCTCCCTGTATCTTCACATGATCTTCCCTCTGTGTGTGTCTGTGTGCTTATCTCCTCTACTTATAAGGATACCAGTCATATTAGATTAGGGCCTCACTTTAACTTATCCTGAGGTACTGGGGTTAGGATTTCAACATAGGAATTTGTGGAGGAAAGTGGCACAATTGAGCCCATAACACATGGTTTAATTTTTTTTTCTCAGTTGAAACCATTCAGCAAGCTCCTATGATTCTGGAACTTTGGAGGTGCAAAGATAATTTATGTATCCAGGCTCCTGCCTTTTCCTCTTTATTTCATGGCAGTTAGCCACCCCATGGGGCCACTTAACCCTGGTCCCTGAATTTAAGTCTCTTTTGGGTAGTTTTGGCAGCAAATGTGTGGATCAGCTTCTCCACAATGATGGAAGACCACATAGGACCTACCCATTCAGTTCATGTGAAGCTTCTATTGGTGAGTGAAACACCACATTCTACAGACAGTAACAGGTGGCCATTTGGATTAGGATGAACATTGATGGTCATTATAGACAAGGTAGATATTTGTATTGAGTCTAAACTGACTTTTGGAAATTTTTGTTTTGTGCTGAATATTTGAAAGATAATATTGGGCCTACTGTTTTCTAAGTACTTTAATTTACATAATTCTATTGAATTTTCACAACAGCCTTAACAAGGAATAAAACATTCAGAGGTGAGGTGAGGAAACTAAAGTACAGAGGATTGAATAATTTTTTTGCATAAGGTTAAACTACTTCTAAATGGAAGGATTAGTACTTGAACCTGTAGCTTTTCTCTCTAAATTCAACAAATGGTATATTGCTATCATAGGAGGTGGAATAAAGAATCTTCCAGAATCTTCTCTGGGTTCTGTGAACCCAGAGAATAATCATTTCAATGTAACTGATCTTATTTGTGTCTCTTGGTCAAATTGGTGATGAAAATCTGTCCCATTATTTTAGGAAACAAAATTTAACTCAGTTTAAAAATCTTAAAATATTTAATTGTTGCTTGTGTGGACATTTAGGTGCAGAAGGCCACATTCCGGCTCATTTCCCTTCCTGCTTCTAGCTTTGTGTCTGTGAGCAAGTCATCTCCCATCTCTGCCCTGTGGTTTCCTCATCTATAAAACAGAGAGTAATGGTAACACCTGATGACTTTTGTGAAGATTAGGTGGAATGATAATTTACCTGGACAAAAATAGAGGTGCAAGCCTTATAAGCAAGAGGCTCTATTCAAGAAGTTACTAAGTGGACTACACTCAGCAAAAAAGCATGAAGCTTGATGAAGTGGTAGCTTTCATGCAGAGGCCTTGTAACTGATCACTCTGATGTCCTTTCAGGATGTTACACTTCTAAAAGATTCCTCTTGTCTCCTTTTTCTGTTTGTCCCACAGATGATCTTAGTAGCCATATTTTCAGAAACTGGATTTTTTGATTATTGTGCTGTAAAGGTAGGTTTGATGTGGGATTTAATATTTATGTGTTAATATTTATGTATTAATTCACTGTTATTTACCATTACATATTCAGTCAATAAAGCTACCACTTAAAGCAAATATTTTAAAATTCCATCTTCCTTTACAAAATTATGGGTGTAAGGCTGGGTACAATTGCTGTGCTAAGTTAGGTGGCTCTGAGAAACACTTTGATCTTCTCAATAAACTGAAGGAGATCAAGGAAAAGAGTATTTGGGTTGAATGTTTGTGTAGCATTAGTTAAATTGGCAAGTTGAGAGCTTCATATCAAAAATTGTTTTGCATTTTAGAGCATCCAAATATTTCAAGTCATCAGCTTCTGATTACTTTACTTTGTGTTGAAATAATTTCAGTGATGACTTTCTAATTATTGAACATATAAACATTCACTTTTATAACTGAAATCCTGGGAAATCCGCCAGCAAGTTCTGATGGCCAGACTCTGCACTGGTGCTATGACTCAGGGTTGGTGAGAGGAGATCTTACCATATTTTGCTAATGCAAAGGCTAGTGTTGTGCTTGATTTTCTTTTTTGAACTGGAAAGTTCTTCTAAAAGACTATTTACTCATCAAAGCCCTTTGCTTTGTCATTCTCTGAATGACAGAATTTTTGCCGTCTTTGTGTGCCATCTTGCATCTTCAAATATCTGGTCTCTTCCTCTCAATGTCTTGGTACTGAAAATCCTTAAGATCTAAGTCCCTTAGATAACCAACAATCAGCAGGCTTGAGGGTCATAGCCCAGGCTGTCTAACCAAAAGGAGATTGTAAGATACTGGATAATGTTAAAGGGATAGAGGGCAATCACCTTGTGACCAGTGAACCATCAAAGGGCACTGTGAAGAAGGAGAATCAGAGGGAAGGAGGGTAAATCATGGTGGATTCAGAATGTCCAGGTACAGGTCATCACTTCCTCATCTTAGCAACTTTAGGAACTCATTGGTTTAAGTTTTAACCCACCATGTAGTGGCTATTTGGATCACTGGCTCTTATAATCTGTAATGAAAAGTCACATCTATTCTTCAACCCCACTGATCCTGGCTTGTTCCTTTCTGTGTGTGTACATCTCAGACATACCAGCTCTCTAGGGGAAGAGTGTGGGCCATGATCATCATGTTGTGTCTCATTGCCGCTGTCCTGTCTGCCTTCCTAGACAATGTCACCACATTGCTGCTTTTTACTCCTGTGACGATAAGGTATGTAGAGTGGCCCTGTATGGTGGTGTGTTCTGGTTGCTCAATCTAGTCCCCATGTTCCCTTTGCTGGTGTGCCCTGGTCCAGCCCGTGCATCCTCCAGGATTGTGGTGCTCAGTGCTCATGGCTATGGCTATGGATTTTCCTTGTGGCCACGGCTATGGCAGGAGCAGTGGCGGCCATAGAAATATACATGGAAGTCACCAGACGTAGGCTTTGCTGTCCAGGGGTGTGAGGCAGATGGGTTCCAGGAGTTCTTATCCATTGAGATGGTCACAGGTGAAGCAGAGCAGTGTGGAAGCTCCTGCCAGATGGTCAGGGATATGTATCCAAGTGCTGGGGAAGTTGGAGCAGCCATCTTGCTCTCCTCAGGCTTGGAGGGTTATGGGACCTGGCCTGACAAGGCTCTGCAGGGTAACTTTGGGAAAGAGAAATTCAATTTGATTCCATTTCGTTTCTTTAAATTAGACATTTCATTAATTAGACATTTATTGAACATCAGAGGCCATTTGTCTTGAATCTCTTGAAGCTTGAGCTTCAGGCCTGGTCATTATGCAGGCCACTTGTAAGGCCATGGAACTATACTTTTATCTAGACTTTATGTTATTTACTTTGAAGATGGTTCCCCAGCATATCATGGCCCTTCTGTGCTTGGACCCACCATGTCCTGGTACTTGGTCATAGGGAAACACATACTCCCTGAGTGTTCATGGGAGACAAGTCACCTCAGCTCCACTGATCTGGGTGGTAGCATCAAAAGGACTAACCTAAGCTAGTGTTTTAAGGATTCTGTTAGATAGGAGACCCTCTTAGACATGAGGCATGAGACACAGCAAGTTCAAATGTGTTCTGGTTGCTTAATCTAGTACCCATGTTCCCTTTGCTGGTGTGACCAAAAAGGGGCTACTTCCAAGGCTCAGGAGTAAATCTAGGTGATGCCTTTGGAATTTGAAGAATTGTGTCTCTCAGAGGTGGAGCGAATTGGAGTGGGGGATAAGGGGAGGAGAAATAAGGGTGGAGAAGAGCAGAGAACAGGCAGCATCCCCACAAGTACAGTCTGCAGTGTTGAGAGTTGGTTGTTGAGAGTTGGTCTCTTGCCCAAGCTCCTGCAAGCTTGGCTGCATTGTCATGCCCCACATGCAGACAGGGATTTAGCCTTCCTGTGCAGGGGTGTGTGGTACTTCCTAGTATGTGGGGTTCTCCTGAGGGCAAATGAAGGCTGGAACAAATGTGGCTCAAGGGTGCTGTAAACTGTAACATGCACTACTAATGGCAGACACCAAACTCTGCTTCTAGGATATCTCAAGGGCAAGAGGCAGGGCACCTTCACCCCCCTCAACCAAGGTGACTCTGCTGCTGTCACTGGTTTAAAAGCCATACTATCACGTATGCTCCAGGTCCCAGAATATCATTGTGCTCTCTGATGACAGTTCCAATGAGAGCAGGCTCCCATGGGGTACCCATATTCCTGGCATTCCTGGACAGTCTAGAAAGCTGAGGGTTTTCTCAGCCTTGCTGGGATTTGTTTATATCCTCAGTACTACAGAAACCAGCTTTGTAATTTTCTGTGAGTAGCAATTCTTAGTCTAAAAGTTACAGCTTTCAAGATTTAAGTGTTAGTGTATTCATATTCACTATATATATTACCATATTCTTCATGATTTTATAAGCTTAATCATGTTCTTCTGCCTTTGTCTGGAGGAGCATAGTCTTCACCATTAAACAGCTTGGTCCATTTAGATAGGATGCCGTCTCTGTGCTTGCTCTGCCATTGTTGATTAACGTACACTAATTATTTTCTTGCTTGAGGCAGATCCTGGAAACTTCCTCAGCTGAGCACTACTGCTGCTGCTGATTGGGGTCTAATCCTGTTTTTGGATTCATTCTTGGATTCATTCATTCATTCATTCATTCATTCATTCATCCCCAGACACCATTCCCTCTTCAGTTTCCACATGGCTCTGTAGGCTTATCCCCTTCAGATGTACTGTTAGTTTCTCTCTGACCTGGGAGATGAAGAGAAGGACCCTTGAGTGCAGCAGCCTAGTAACCCAAGGCCCGGTTTCTATATGGAAGTAGACAGTATGGATTGGCAGGCGTGGTGGGACATGATGTGTTTCCCAAACCTTCTTTAGAGCAACATCTTTCTTTTCTTCTTTCTTTCTTTCTTTCTTTCTTTCTTTCTTTCTTTCTTTCTTTC